AGAGAGAGAGAGAGAGAGAGAGAGAGAGAGAGAGAGAGAGAGAGAGAGAGAGAGAGATCATGAGTCATTCTGACTCCTTTACAGATGGAGCTAGTAAATGCCGTGGACATCCTGAGTGGGTGAGTTTTCTTCACCCTTTAAGCATGGATGCTACAAACCTTCCTCACTTACAGGGATACGGTGAGAAGTAAATGAATTACAATGTAACTCTTCTTTAAGATGGTAAAGACATGAAGAAAGGTGAGGTTCTATTACATAAAACAATGCATGTCAATTTTGAGTGAAATAAGATATAAGAAACCAGCATGAGCCTTTGAGCTGATGAAAGCATCCCTATCTATGCTACCACTAGGTCAGCACATGATCTCCAGGTGGACGGTGTGCAGGTGTGCAAGCATGTACTAAGTGTCTTCCACTCACGGGACTCATGGAAAAACACCAGTGATCCTCTCAATCAATGCTTGCTTGCATGGCAGAAAATCACAGAACTTAGGAGTAAAATGCCATGGAGTTACTTTTCCACCTGTGCAGCATAAATTTGGACTTCTGAAAACCCAGGCATATCTTTCTAGACATTTCTGTGCTTTCCTGTGAGTTTTGTTATCTGTGTGACTAATACTCTTTGAAAACGCAGAGCCCAGCAGGAGGAGGTCATTATTTTGGGAAGTCTTAGAAGGAAGTGGAGAAATAATGACGGTTTGTAAAATCGTGGTCTCAGAATCTAGACTTCCAGATGTGTTTGACTCACCGGACCCCAATAAGGAACTAAATGACTGTCTCCCAGAGCATTTTTTCCCCCAATAAAACAGAGCTAAGAATCACCTGTGCCCTCTTGGCCTGCTGAGGGTGGATTTAGGTCTTAGCAACGCAGCACTAACAGGTGGCTCAGGCCCCTGTCTGCAGCCTGCATTTGCTAGTGATGGAAGCAAAAGAGGAAAAAAAAGCAAGGGCAAACACCAAATATTAAAAACTCCCGGGGTGTGTGACACCTATGATCAAACTGAACGAGGTGATAAGAAGACAAAGCCAGAAATACATGTTCTCTTCTAAAGAAATATTCAAGCTACCCAATGTTAATTATTATTACGGTCACTGTGAGGGTTGATCCAACACTCTGCTCCTGCACTGCACTGCTGTAGTATTGATGACAATGTTATACATAATCGAACTAATATAGTCGCTATTAATGAACAGAAATAATAACGACAAGAAGTCCCAAGCAGTCACTGCCAACGAGGGAGTATTAGCTATCCACTCTGGAGCTCACTGGCTGCCTCTCTCTGCTTTTCTTCTTCTACCTCTCAATCCTGACTATCCTAGCCCCATTACCTGGGAATCTATCCCCGGGGAATGAGAATGCATCGTACTGTTTGTTTGAAAAAAAGAAGTTAATACTGACACCAGCCCCCTCTCTCCACACTGCGTATCAAAGCCAAATATAAATGATTTCTGAAGTTCTCTGCTGCCGTGGCTTATTGCTGCCAGTGTGGGCTCTTCGATTAGCATGGATTAAGTAGGACCTGACCATATGTCAGGAGAACGTGTCCTTTCAAAGTGACCTCATATATCAAACACACACACCCCTGGGAGGCTCCCCCCAACCCCAGCGCCATGACAGCCTCCTCCAGGAGATTTCGCGTTTTGTCACCTGTGACCGTATGCTGCCGCCTGTCACTTGTGTCTGTGTAGATGAGCCCTCGCCCACCCAGCCAGAGCTGGTACTCCTTAATGACATCTTTCGTTTTCTCAGGGACACTCCAGCTGAGGTGCAGTGTCTCTGGTCCCCGGGCTGTGATGTTTGGTGGCGAGATACTCTCAGGGATTCCTCGGGTGGGAGCAGCGACGACCTGCGAGTGTGGAAATTAAACAGCAATTTATTGTCATTGTCCACTAGGAATCCTGATCAATGAAAATGTCGCTTTTGTTTTAGAGCTTTGCCGTCTGGTGTGGCATATCATTAGCAAAGGCTGGGAGAAGGAGGTCCCCCCCCCCCTCATTCTTTCCCTCTCATCCTATTTAAACAATGAAATCTGACCTTGAATACATTACATAAGTCTCCAACTACTATTTATCACAACAGGTCCGACAACAATTTTGAAGGCAGAGTGCGGCCCTCAGTTTAAACAAGTGCAAGCCTGCCCGGCAGACTGTCTGCCTGGAGAACTCTCGTCCATATGGCCCATCAGTGTCTTTGCATTTTAACAGCCTGATTTTGCAAAGTTAAGCATCAGTAAATATGGAGCAAAAGCTACGTCTGAACTTGCTAGCACAGAGCATGCTTTAAGCAGCATAACGGGTGGACTCCCCCGTATTCTTCCCAGGACGACGGTATACTGTCTATGCTGATATTCTAGAAAGAAAACCAAGTGAGAAGAAAAACCAGCCAGTCACCGAGTCAGTGGTGTCAAAACATGGTTCTGGATACAATTTCCTGTTGGGAAGATGCCCCCCCCCCAACGCACAAAGGATAAACCTGATTTCACGTTTTAACCAATTGTTCTGGCATCTGATCGGCCCAGGCCCTGTTACACACAAACTATAGAATTGTCCAAGGACCATTCAGACTAGCTTTTGGTTGGTCTAAACAGCCACCATCTGTCAGCATGGCGGCGGGCTCAGTCCTCACTGGGGCTCTGTGTTGTGTGGCTCCTGCAACAGTGTGTAGGTCCCACTCTTCTGAAGTTTCAGTCAGGTGAAGAGCGTTAGAAGCATTCTGTCTGTCGGTGTGTCTCCCAGGCGGCTGCCCACATTGCTGGCCTATGTGAAATGGCCCTTGATTCATTTTCTTCCTTAATTCTTTGTTTCCTCTCAGTCTCCTCTGAGGCGTTTTCTTTCTTCTCCATTCTATAGCAGTCTCCATCACTCATCACCAGTGGTATTCTGCTTTTGTTTCTCTCTGGCGCCCTTCATGATCACATCTAAACCTATTGCTTTAATTTCTCGGATAGATTTTTCTAGCAAGCCCAGCTCCTGGTCTAGCATCCAACTAGACAATTTTTTTTTTTTCATTTAAAATGACCAGTGCTATCTGCTTCTATCACCCTGCTCTTTGGTTTCGAGACACTTGAAGATAATCCTATCATTTTAACATCTTTGTTTCTGCTTGCACCATAGCAACACCACCTACAAACAGCTAACAATGTGTACCTTAAAAGACATGCAACACTTTACTTTCTTCTTTTCTGTGTCTGGCCTTTTGCCATCGCGACACAACCCTGTCATCTACAAAGTTTATGCTTAAGAACCGCAGAATGAAATTTTTAAAAATGCCCAAAAGCTCATAATGTTTTAAGTAGTTTATAATTGAGCATTGGGGCTCAGTCACAGCAATCCCAGGGGTGCATATGAACAAGGGCTGCAGGTTGGACACAGCTGCATATTCTGCATCGAGTTGACACCAAAGTCTGCAGATTCTATGACCTGCATTCTGCTGTAACTGTCTTTTATTTTAGGATAGCGTTTTCTAGCCCAGGCTGACCTCAAACTTACTATAGCTGAACATGACCTCGAACTCCTGATTCTCCTGCACACACCTCAGGATGATGAAATTGCAGCACACACCTGGCTTATACAGTGCTGGGGACTGAACTCAGGGCTTTGTGCATCCTAGGTGAGCACTCTACCAACGGAGACACACTCCCAGCCTCTCATTCTGGACCAGTGCCTGAATCTAGGCCTTTATTATTCCTTCCCAAGACTTCTGCTGAAGTGTTGGGGGTCACTTATTTGCATGGCAGCCTCATCCATTTCTGGTTTTTAAGAGTGGTAAAATTTGAAGGTATGATATTTAGGTGCAAATTTAATTAACTGATGAGTAATTTTGGACATTTGATGGCTTTGTAGAATACCGCTGCCCCCATTCCATGTTACGCCACTATAACAGAGTACCTACGGCTGAGAAACACCTGAAGAGAAGAGTTTTCTATTTTTACGTCAACGTTCTGGAAGCTGAGAAGTGTAAGACTGGATGGCTGCACAGGGGGTGAGGCACACTGCTGGAATAGGAAGGTACCCGGGCTTGTGTCCCAGCAACAGAACATGAGAGGTGGCCTCAGGATAACCTGCATCATGGTGATTGCCTGGTCCTGGGAATGTGATGATGTACTCTTTTGTCGAGAAAGAAGGACATTTGTTCCTGTGAACAGGATCCAGTGTGGATTCCTTGTGACTCAGCACCTCTCAAAGGTACCACTACCACTCAACATTAGCTCTTGGTTTCTTTCAAAATTGGAATGGGTCTCCCCCCCCCCCCCAATCTTCTTCCAGTGTCAGATGAACTCCATGTGCTTCAAATTTAAAGACCTAGCCCTGACATTAACATTTATTGAGCACTAACTGTTTTCTTGTATTGATACCAACCCACATCATGAGTCTGGCTGGGGAAAAATCCCAGCCAACCACAACAAATACCCAGAAATAAGTAATGAGAGAGGGGTGTGAAGGAGCCATGGACATTGGCTCAAGAGTTTGCTGTTCCTAATAAAACACTGCTATCTGGTTAAATCTCTGTCACAGGAATCTCCCCTTTCAGCATCAACATCCAACGAAGGGGACACTCTCCTCAATCCCACTTTGAGGGAGACACGGTTTTCTGGCCTTGGAAAAAATCACACCCAGGATGCTCACTCAGCCCTCAGCCTGGACTCTTCTTCCCACAGGTAGGTGAGTTCCTCTCACCTTGCTGCTGACTGCACAGCCAGAAGCCGTGCAAGCTTTCAGCTGGTACGAATATTCCTGGAGTGGCTGAATCCCCTCCGTGTCCGTGAAACTCAGCGATGTTCCCCGAAATCGCTCCCTTCCATCTCGAAGAAGAATGTACTGAGTAATAGGACCTGGAAGGCAAAAAATGCAGGCTCTGTGTCATGCCACACACATGAACTGTTTTCAAACATGTATGTCAGAGGACTTTTCAATTACATTTATTTATTTACATACAGGTATGTGTGTGAAGGCCAGGGGACAACTTTATGGAGTCATTTTTCTCCTTCTACTATGCAGGTCCCAGGGACCGGACTCAGGTAGTCAGGCATGGTGGAGTATGCCAAGCTGTCCCACCAGCCTTGACATTAAATTTCTAAAGAAATGAGATATTGTAGCCTTTTAAAACACAACACCTTTCTATGTCCAAGCAGTTCTCAATTTTATTACCGGGGGAAGATGGATTCCAGACAGAGTTATGTTATGTGTTTATCTCTGTTCATGATTTAGAAGATTTGCTTTCAACAATGAAACAATTTTGACTTCAACTATATTCTGCTTATTTGAAAGCAGCTCTGGTATATGTGAGGATTTGGGATTTTGAATGATTATTATTACCATTATTATTTATTTTGGCTTAAAAAGATGAACTGCCACAAGAGGGTTCTTTCTATCAGTAAATATTTCCCACTGAATAGATAGCATGCCAGTGTATATAGTACACTCATTTCCGTATTGGAGGAATTCACAAAGTTAGGTAATTCTACATATTTTAGGAATTTGCAAAGTTAGATAATTCTATTTTTTTTAAATTTACTCACATTTTATTTTTTTTAATTTAGACTATATTTATTTAATTTAGTTATGGAAAATTTCTTATTTTTTTCTTTTATTTTACAATACCATTTAGTTCTACATATCAGCCACAGATTCCCTTGTTCTTCCCCCTCCTGCCCCTCTCCCCTTCCCCCAGACCATCCCCCATTCCCACCTCCTACAGGGCAAAGCCTCCCCCCCAACCCCAGGACTGAGATCGACCTGGTAGACTCAGTCCAGGCAGGTCCAGTCCCCTCCTCCCAGACTGAGCCTAGCGTCCCTGCATAAGCCCCAGGTAATTCTATTTTTGAAGTAGCTTAATACCATTTGACTGTTTGGGCTTCTTCCAGTTTAAGAAAATAGCATCTTCAGGGTTGCCCGTTCTGGCCCATCTAGGGGCCCTGACTCCTTGAGGCACATCTTCTTTCGTGCTGGCTCTAACAGATTGGCTGAATCCTCTCCCGAAGTTGTTCCATGCAGAAACCCTGTACTCATACATGGTACTGGGTTCAAGGTCTACATCTGCAAAGACAAAAAACAGACTCTGGGGATTTACTTTTTTTTTTTTTAAACTATCACATTAAAAATTAAAGTCAAAATCATTTTTAAATTTAATTTTTATTTCTGTCTTTCTGTCTGTCTGTCTCTTTCTGTGTGAGTGTGTGTGTGTGTGTGTGTGTGTGTGTGTGTGTGTGTGTGTGTGTGTGTGTGTGAGCGATGGAGCCTGAAGAGGTCAGATGATGGCATTGGATCCCCGGATCTGGAGTTCTAGGCAGTTGTGAGCTTCTCTCCTACATGAGTACTGGGAGCTGCATTCTGATCCTCTACAAGAGCAGTACAGACTCAACCTATGAGCCACGTCTCCAAACCCTGAAAATCAAGATCTCTAAACATTTAAAACAAATGCTTAACGCTCTTACCCCTTTGTGAATAAAAATCAAATCTATTCATTTTATAAATCATGAAAAAATTGAAGTGTGGAGATGGGAGTCTCACAGCACGGAACTCATCATTTCTGAAGAGGGAAGTGCTTACAAAGGAACAGCCACGGGGCTGCAGGGACGCCTCAGAGGGAAAGTGCTTGCTGTGTGGCCATAGGGACCTGGACTCCACACCAGATGCATGGGAGAGGCTGGGCTCAGCAGAGTTGCAATCCCAGCCCTCGGGGTGGGGCGGGGCAAGGCAGAACCCAGAGGCCCCAGGCAGTGAGAGAACTTACCTCAAAAATAAGATGGATAACAGACGAAGATGAACAACATGGTCCTCTGGCTTACAGATGTATGTATGTATGCATTTACCCGCGTGCGCACGCGCACACATACACACATGCACACATCACATGCACTCATGCACACACAGTTATATACAAAAGAAGTGATTGAAAAGAAGACTAATATAAGGTTAAACTGAGTGACTCAAAAGTTTGTATACCCTTTGTTTCTAGATGAGGCAGGATTGCCAATGCTATTTTGTAGTTTTGTCACTATAAATCTTACCAATTATTACTTTGTTAATATTACTTTGTTAAAATATCACATAAGTTATATTTTCATGAGACACAGACTCGAAACTTAGCTTCTGGTGGTGCCACGTTAGTGAATAAAAACAATACCCCTGCAGTATCCACTTCTACCAAACCCAGAACCCAAAGCCAAACACCAACCAAGCAATTTATCTCATTAGAACAATGAAACCCAACCTGCTGAGTGTTTGGTTGGCTTTCATTAGTCACTGTGTGTCAAAGTCTTAGTTCCATAAGTTCAATAACCCCCAAAGCATTGATTTTATGCATTTACAAAAAGAAACCCCAAAACAAAAACCAAAAAGAAAACCCTGAAAGTTTAATGATTTCAATTTATTTTGCACTTATTTTACTCCTGTAAACTGGGAGCCTTTTTTCTTTTCACTTTTGATTCCTGAGTGACTCTTTGTCAGTGAGGACCCGGAAAGGAGCTGCTCCTGGACATGTGTGCTCCCTCCACTGGAGTTTGTGTTAATCTGGTCCATTCTCTTGGGGACTTGAGCCACATTCTCTCTCTCTAAAACTTTTTATTGACTCTTTGCGGGTTCCACATCATGGATTCCAATCCTACTCTTCCCCCTGGCCCGTCACTTCTGCCCTCTGCCCTTGCAACCTTTCTCACAAAACAGCATTTAAAAGTAAAACAAATAAGAAACCAAAACAACAAAAAGAAAACAAATAAAAAAAAATCTTGGCATGGAGGCTGTAGTGTGGCCCGTTGAGTCCATTTATCTTCACTTGTAAGTGTTCGCTGCAATGAGCTATTGGTCTGGTTCGAGGTCTCTGGTTTCTTTTTTCTCTTCTTTTTTCTTTTCTCTTCTTTTTTCTTTTCTTTTCTTTTCTTTTCTTTTCTTTTCTTTTCTTTTCTTTTCTTTTCTTTTCTTTTCTTTTCTTTTCTTTTCTTTTTTTAAGATAGGATTTCTCTGTGTAGTTTTGGTGCCTGTCCTGGATCTCGTGCTCTGTAGACCAGGCTGGCCTTGAACTCACAGAGATCCACCTGGCTCTGCCTCCCAGTTGCTGGGATTAAAGGTGTGCGCCACCACCGCCCGGTGAGGTCTCTGGCTTCTGCTGCACCGTAGACACTGGGATCTCACTGGACTCCTCTTGGATATCCTATTGTTGCCATGTGTCATGGAGATCCTGTAGCTTTGCATTTGCAGGTCTGGCCCCTTCACATGCTCCAGCAGTTCTTAGATGATGTGGGTGTTGGGGTGGGCTAGCTCATAGTCCTGGTTCTGGGCCTGGATGGTAGCTGGGTTGGTCAGTTTGCCAGCTTTCCCTCATTGGCATCACCCAGGCGAGCTCGCCAGCACTGCCCCCGCTAGCTCACCCAGTGTAGCAGACGCAAGCAGCAGGGCCAGTTCTGCTCTCACACCCTCGGGTCAGCTCACCTGTGCTACACTCACAGCACCAGCGCCAACTCTGCTGTTTTGCTCAGGCGAGGTGCAGGGCCCACTCTCCAGATTTCTGCACTTGGTGAGGGGCAGGTCCAGCTCTTTGGTTCTCATGCCCCTGGGGTCATCTCTCCTGCCTGCTTCTTATGGCAAGGAGTCAGTTGGGAGGGCATATTTCCTTGCCATTCCATGGCATATGAGGGAGGAGGTAGGGGTAGCTTTCCTGCTCTCACACCCACAGGTCTGGCTCCCCTGCACCCCTGCCAACAGGTCAGCTCTAGTGCACTGCCCAGGTGAGGTGCTGTGCCCCATCTCCCACCTGCTGCAGCTGGTGAGGGGCAGGACCATTTCTTCTCATCTCGTGGCTCTGGGGCCAGCTCGCTCTCTGCCACAGGTGGCAAGGGGAGGGGGCATTTTTTCTTCACCCATGACACCCCATGAGCCACATTTTCTTTATCTGCATCTCCAACAGCAAACTCTCCACCCTGACTACTTTATAGAATCCACGGGAAAATGAGATGCAGCTAGTTATGTGGCAGAACTTTAGAGAGTGTAAATTTTCCCCACAGATATTTTGTGCTGAAGTTTGGACCTGGATATCCCCAAAGCCCATGTGCTGATGGCTCATTCCTCCAGCCTTGCTGCCATTGGGAGGTGGTGAGACCTTTGGGGGAAGGACTTGGTGGAAGAAATGACATCATTGGCTTTGTGTCCTTGAAGGGTATGTGTATACCTCAGCAGCTTCCCATACATTTGCTTCCTGGTGGTCAGTAGGGTAGCAGAGTCCATCATGGTACTCTCCCAGCCAAACTGTACAGTCTTAGCACAGACTCTAAGATAATTATGCCACTGACCATGGACTATGCCCTTCTAAACTAGGAGCCCACACAAGGCTCTCCCTGCCTGTGAACTGATTATTCTCAGGTGTTTGTTGTAGTAACAGGAACCCTAAAACATAGATCTTCTGTCTCCATTTTCCCTGGTAAGAGGGTGTGTGCCTCTTGTTGCCTATGGCTGCTACTGGCACATTCTCACTTCTTCCTTCCTGATTTCCCTTCCTCCTGCTTACAAAGTCTCCTGCTTTTTGTCATAGCTTGGCTGGTGTGGTCACTTCATTTCCATATGACTGATTGAAGAAAAATGGAAGACTATTTTTTTTTTTTGCAGGGTGGGAACAGGGTCTCATTATGTTGCCCAGCCTGGTCTGGAGCCTGCTTGATAGTCCAGGTTGGCATCAAGCTTGTAATCCTCCTGCCTCAGCTTCGAGGGTGCTGAGATTACATGCATTTACCACCACACCTGGCCTGCATCACTTTTAGGAGGGACAATCTCCTGTCACTCTTTGCTGGAAGGGTGTGACAAGAATGTTTCGAGGAGCCAGGCTGCGGCATCATGGCAGTTGTATGAGAAACACGATGACCAGCTGTACTGAGATACTGTTTTCCAGCAAGATGGCTTTTCTTTTGCTCCTGGGCTTTGCAATATTCTCAGCCACACCATCCTTCCCTGAAACTCATAGATCCCAACTTGTTCTTTCCTTCTCAGCTCAGTCACAAAGTCTTTCCCAGCCTTTCTGGTCTGGACCGAGTGTCCTTATAAGACTCTTCAAAAGCATCTGAGGTCACAAAGTTTACTTTGTGTTGACATGGATGCCCTTTCACACCACCCGGCCCTCAAACACCCAAGCAAGTTCTTCACTTAGGCTTCAGGTCCTAGATGGTAATTCTTGCTTGTCTATAGCTGCTGGTGCTGGTATAATGACTGCCTATTAGTAGGTATTATATAAATATACTCATTACATATATTATATAAACATATGTAATATAAATATATGTTGGTGGAGACCAATTCTAGAACCTTGTACATAATAAACAAATGCTCTACCATTGAGACATATGCCAAGGCTCTTAATACATGTACATATATACATGTAACTATATAAAACACATTTTTTGAGAATTTCATGCTTAAAGATTCTATTTACCTCATATCCACTTCTCCCCCTTCCCTCCAACTCCTACCAAGTTCTCCAACTCTCTCCCAACTTCTTGATTTCTTCTCTAATTATAACTGTTACTCATGCACAGTTACACACACACACACACACACACACACACACACACACACACACACACGGCAGGGCTGACACACACTGATCAGTCTAGGCTGCAATCAATGACTGCAAGGAGAGGAGTAGAACTCCTGACAGCTTCTCTAATCCCAAGTGAGCCCTAAGTGCGCACAGTGAACAGCAAATGGACCCATCAGTGTGTTTAACAATTTTCACGAACCAGTAAAGTTTGTGGGTAAAGCAGGATGTTCATAAGCTCAAAGTTAGCTTGGGCTATGCAGCAAGTTCAAGGCCAGCCTTGGCAATTTAGTGAGACAGTTTCAAAACAAATAAATGAGAAGTGGGCTGGGGACAAAGCTCCGCGGGAGAGTCCTTGTCAAGACTGGGTAAGTTGCTGGGTAGACCCTAGTACCCCCCAAATGAGAAAGTTTGTTTCTCATGTTCAATTTATGGCATTTTGGCAGGCAAAAGCAGCTGGGAGTGTAGGTTTTAAAAGCCCTTATAATCTTACAACAGTGGCACATCTCTTCATTTTGGAGGAAGGCTCCTGCAAGTGTGTTTTGAGAGCCCTTCACGATCTTGACTTGATTGCAGGTGGCAGATAAAAGCCGGGGACTGTGTGGGATGAAAACCCATTCATTTAAGAAGGAGAGTCCACTGATGTGATATTTACCTGACAGCAGGAGGCTGGAAAGCAGGGCCACTGTGCTCTGTCTTGAAGCCTTTCCTAATGTTATTTATTCAGGAGTTTTTCCTTATGAGCAGTGTGATAAATCCCAATAAAGGCAAAAACATACGATTTTGAAGAACATTTCAACCTAGAGGGACAGATGGAGCGATTGTCCACGGCAAGTGCCATGAAGCAGAGGGCTGGCTTTTGTCAGCCAGATGCTGCAGGAACAGGAACAGAAGGGGCTCATGGCTGACCTGGCCTTGGATTTGAGCAGGACGATGAAGGGCCACAGAAGGGGAACCAGCATTTGAGGGAGGTGGCAGGTACCCGGAAGGAAGCTCCTTTCCCCCATGGAAGCTTCTAAATCCCATTCTTCAGAAGGCATCGGCTGTGGGTTGGTCTGCTTCCCACGGCAAACTCCTATGACCACACTAGATGACTGCCTTGGGAGTAAGCAGGAGCGTTGAGCTACCTCATATGGCCCTGGAGTAAATTTTGATCAGCACACTTTATTTCCTCTCCTTCCCCCTTCCCTCTGTGCGCTTTCCTGTCTACCCTGGAACTTTCCATTCCTGGAATTTGACATGTTCACTGCCTGTGGTTAAGGGAGGCCAGTCATGGTTCATGCTGAATATAGCATTGCTTTGTTTATTTAACTGCAATGTATACGAATTATGTAACTAATGGACTAAAATGGACTCTCTCTGGCTCTACATCGTGCGCGCGTGCACGCGCACGCGCGCGCGCACACACACACTCACACACACACACACACACACACACACGTGCCCGTGCACACCCACGTGCATGGTCCACTCACTGCCCTAATTGGAAGTTACTTTAGAACTTCAAGAATAAAAAATTGCCAATCAATGGAATATACCAGAAAGGCACACACAGTTTATTTACTTCTTGTTGTTTATTTTCTTTTGACTTAATTTAAAACAGTATATATCCCTATTGAAGGAAAGACTTAAAAAATTTAAATAACTGGTTTTGAATGCATCCAGATCATGTCACTGATTACCATGAAACAAGCTGACCTAAAAGTATGATGGAGCCGGGCGGTAGTGGCACACGCCTTTAATCCCAGCACTCGGGGAGGCAGAGGCAGGTGGATCTCTGTGAGTTTAAGGCCAGCCTGGTCTACAGAGCTACTCCAGGACTGGCTCCAAAGCTACAGAGAAACCCTGTCTCGAACCAACCCCCCTCCCCCCGGCAAAAAAAGTATGTTGGAATTGATTGGCATGGGGGACTATCAGAGAAACGGAGTGGAGTCTGCATTCGTGGCAGCCTCTCACTAGGCCTACTCAGCCATGGGCAGAGGGTTCAGTATACCTTACCTATGAAGGAGCGTTCGTTTACATCTCCTGAATAAACTATCTCCTCTGCTGAAGAACACAGTCTGTCCATTGCTACCCTGCCCATGGGATTGAGAGGGCCTCTCGTCACAGTGCAGATATGGGTGGTAGCATTGAAGTCACACTGCCCACAGTGTGCTGTAGCCTCCATGGATGCTGAGCAGACAGTTGCACATGCCCTGGCTTCCTGTTGGGAATAGGGAGAAGTAGGTTTGTGAACTTCCTTGAGTCATGTAGAATGCGTTTCTGTATCACTTGAATAAATATTTTCCTCCCATGATAAACAAACATCCTAAAACACACAGAAGAAAATGGTTTGCACCCCAGAAAGAGCAGAGATGTCCAAAGGCCATCAGTCTGGATTACATTTGACTTTTGTGTCTTCCTAGCTCTGGACTTTCAAAGCCTCAGGTGCATGAGTGCACGAAATGGAAACTGAATTCACCAGGAAGGTTTGGTCTGTGAATTAAAGGACCTCACACCTGAAGTGTCTCAAGTTCAGAGCTTACGTGACAAACATGAACCTTAGCTTCTGTGTGTGAACTTCACCATTTTCATGTGGTATTTTGGAGAAAATATAGGATGAGGATCCAAACTTCTATGCTGTAAGAAAAATTGGCACTGGGACCAGCAAGATGGCTCAGTGCTTAGAGACCCTTGGTGCCAAGTTGGAGCCCTGAGTCCAATCCCTGGGTCCCACATGGGAAGGAGAGAACCATCTCCACAGAGATGTCCTCTGACTTCTACACTGTCCCTCATTCTGCCTGGCACAAAGGTGTCCACAATTCCAAGACACAAATATATAAATGTAACAACAATAGAAAGAAGACAAGTTAGACCCACAGTACATGGTGTTGGGAAACCTAAGCATTGCATATTGTCGTTATAACTATTTACACTGTAAATCTCTTCTCTGACGGATCTAGATGCTTTACAGTTACTGCGGAGCGCTCCAATCTGAAGAAATTAAGTGCTCAATCATTTTAAATTTTAGGAACTTCAGAGAAGGTAATACTCATACAAGACACAGATCCACATTACATTCCTGCATATAAGTAATAAATAGGTTTTAAATGGTTTTCATGTTAAAATTTGATTATTTTTCTTCTCTCTTTCATGAAAGGATAAATTCTCTCTAAGTCATCAAAATAACACTTCTTCATAAAAACATGGTAGGAATTTCATTTAAAAAAAAGGCAAAGTGAACACGTTTGTCAATTTAAAACCTGTCCAAATGCAAGTAAAAAAATGGGTTACACACAAGAACTCAACATATGAAGTTTAAGGAAATTGGCAGGGAAGTAATCCATGGGCATTTGAAATATTTGTCCAAGCTGGAGAGCTGCCTACCTGGAGCAGACCCAGTACCTGTGCTGGGCAGAGCCACTTTCTCCTTGAGGACCCTGATCTCCAAGCCCACGTGTTAGCCGAGGCCTCTAATTGGCGCTACACAGGGTACCAAAGCAAAGGCAGTGGGAGCTGCCAACGGTGTCCCAGGACAACCCAGCCAGATGACCCCACTTTCCCTGTCCGCTGTGAGCCTAGGACCATTGGTGAAGTACCAGGAGATGAGCTACTTGGAAAGGAGCTGCCTGGCTGATACAGGATGTGATATGAAAATTTCTAAAAAGAAAACTGCCCAAATGGTAGATCTGAGCTTGTTTACCATACCCTCCCAACTCAAAAAAAAAAGAAAAAAAAAGAAAAAGAAAAGAAAAGAAAAGAAAAGAAAAAAGAAAAGAAAATTAAAAACAGAAACTGGTATTTTTGTGGAGTTATTCATATACTAAAATGTTTGGTGATCATTTTCTTTCTTTCTTTCTTTCTTTCTTTCTTTCTTTCTTTCTTTCTTTCTTTCTTTCTTTCTTTCTTTCTTTCTTTCTTTCTTTCTTTCATAACTGTCCTAGAACTCACTTTATAAACCAGGCTGGTCCCGAACTCACAGAGATCCACCTGCCTCTGCCTCCTGAGTACTAGGATTAAAGGTGTGCACCAGCACCACCTGGCAATTGTGATCATTTTCTAATGTATACATATAGGTCAAGCTGCATACTGCTCTGTCTCTGTCTCTCTCTCACACATACACACACATGCCAGTTACATCTCAATAAGGCTGAAAATCACATACTGTGGAGCCACCACTTTAGCATATTCTATGGAGCTACCATTTTAGCATAGTCTGTTTAAGCAATAAAACTCCAAAATGTGTGGTTGACTTAGTGGTTGGGCAGGATTGATAAACAGCCACAATGGGAGGGGGAAAGAAACTGGAGGCTACATAAGTGGCCATCTCTGGCATGGCATGAAAAAAAAAACCTGTCTCAGGATGGCTCCATGGGATGGGTCCTGAGACAGGATGTCAGCCATGGTGTGCTCTTCCTGGCTGCCGTTGGCAGTGCATGCCTGAATGAGACAAGCTGAAGAAGGGCTCGTGGGACTGAGAGGGACACAGAGGCCACGCTGGGAGGACGGTCAGGACCCAGATTTAAAACGGGGGAAGGGAAAAGTAAATCTGCTAGGCGCACACTAGGAGCGCCCCTAGGAGTTCCTACTGTTCCTACACAGCCGGAAGCTAGGCAAACCCTACTGCTGACCTGAGGAAGAGTACTGGGGTCCTTGTTAGGACTCTTGACCACATGACTCCATGACCGACAGGTGACTACCCTGCCATGCTTCCCATTGATAGACAGACCATGACCATGCACAGCAAGTCCTTACCATGAGAGGTTAACGGGGTTTGGGGCAAGCAAAATAAACCAAGAAGGGTCAAATCTGTGCTAAATAAGCAAATAATACCATTCAAAAATAAGCAAACCAACACCCTCAGAATCATAAACATAGTTATACCCTCCCCAAACAAAAATACCCTAAGACAAAATGGTTCTATTTCTTTTTTAACTAATAGAAATGTTGAAAGATAAATCTACAGCAACACCTCAGTGAGGTGAAAAATGACAAACTAATCAGTGGACAAAGAACAGCTAGAAGGGAAATAATGAAAGATAGATTTAAGAAAACCAGGACCAACTAAGAGGTGAGAACTAAAGCAAGAGCAGCAGTACCCTCAAATGAATAATAAAGCTGCGCCCCCAGAAGGGAAGTGGGGAACTCCAGGCTAAAATGACACCCCCACACATCATTTTAAGGTTGGGATGCAGCTCACTGATAGATCGGGTGCTTGTCTGGCATGGTCAAGCCTGTGAGCTTCACCTCCGATGCCACAAGACAAGCAGACTGACTGTGGGTCATAGCAGGTCCACGCAGAGGCTCATTTTCATGAAGTAAGATAGTAAGAACACATATTGAGGGAGGAAACAGAGAGGCAAAGGCTGGCACTCAGCTCGATTGCTCTGCCCATCCCATAGCACAGCACCGCCTTCGGTCAGTGCTCCACCTCAGACATTTCCTCCGGAAAACAGCCTCACAGACACACCCAGAGGTGTGATTCCAGTTTATTCCAAACCACACGAGGCTGACAGTTGAGGCGAGTCATCACAGTGGGCAGCTACAGCACCCCGCCGGGCTGTGCTGTGCAGGGGCCAGAGAGGATGGTGCTCAGTTTGGGAGCACACACTTCCTGTCATCCACTCATCTGAAGTGCTGGGTAAAGCTTCCCTGAGAACAGCTAATCATTAGGAATTCCTTTAGAATTCATTGCACTAGCATCAATCATGACAAACTCATTCGGTATTAATATGGATAGAATGCAAAAATGAATAATGCACACATGAGATTTTATATTCCTATTTTAGAAAAATAGTTATGAACAATGTATTTCTCTTTCCACTGTCAAAGCAGCACCTCCAAGAGGCTTTCTATCAATTACCTTCATCCCCATTCCAGTTGAAATCTCGTCAGAACAAACATATTTCAAAGGATTATATCCAACTCCATTACAGCATCGCTGGCTCTCTGGAATAAGTTCAGTGTTGCAGCATTTTACTGGCACTGGGTCATTCTTTTTAACGTGTGCTTTAGACTCGCCACTGGAAGCTGAGCAGCATATGGTATCTGACATATTCACATAATCCTGCCCACAACACAGCATTCCTGCAACAATAAAATGTTATATATGAATATCAAATAAAAAAAGGGAAGAAAACTGAGGCAGCCGTAAAGCTTGGTATAAAAACGTCAGACTTGGGCAGTTTCAGTGAAGGAGTCCTAGCAAAGGTAGCATTTCCCCACCAAGGTGATTTAGATGTGTGATGAGGGTCCTTCTTACCAAGAGCGCCAGGCACTCATTAGGAAAAGAACACACAAGAGGAACCATTCGGAAATCATTCAGCTGGGCCAGACTCTGCCCGCACTCCATTAAAAAAAAAGATTGGGTTTCTGTCAAAACTGCCTGCCCCTTTTGTGATGATAACATCATGTTGCACAAGTAGGTTAGCTAGATTAAAAGATCCTAGAGAGAAAGCTCTAGAAATTCACAAGGGAGGCTAGGTCACCCAGGCACTCTGGGATAAGAGCCAGGCAGAGTGGAAATGTAGTGACATCCAGATGAGCAGTCCTGGGTAAGAGCTGTGTACACCCCTGGCTGTCTTTGTCTAGGGTATGGTATTTGTGTCTCATGAAGTCTGAAACAGCCACAGTCATCCTTTCTCCCAGAATTAGATTGGGTATGTACAGCCAAGCCGGGGATACTGCTCAGTTTGTAGAGTGCTCGCCTATGCTTGGTCTCTAGTCAGTACTGCATAAACCAGATGGCATCACACTCCCGTGATGCCAACATTAGGAAGGTAGAGGCAGAAAATAAAAACCAAGTTATTTTCAGTGATATGCTGAGTGGAAGGCCATCTTGGGATTCTGCGGTGCCTAAGATGATAACAACAACAGAAACAACTAGTCAAGGGTCTTTATCTCTAATAATTCAGCTACATCTCTAATAATTCACACCAGAAGGGGAGATAATGAGTAACACAGTGACCATAACAGTGACCACAACTGGCCAAGATGCAGAGATGTAGAGGCCATGGCATGCTCAGTCCTAGATGGAAAGCGCACCACATTCCCTCCTCCCAAGTTTCCGGGACCACTGTGGAATGATGGCTAGAAAGAGTGGAGGAGGCTGTGGATGACTCCAAGGAAACACTGCCTTCTAAACACAGCCGGACAGTCAATCACAGTGGTTATTGGTTAGGACATCATACACAATCTTGGTGCAAGTCAAAGTCATCCCAAATGCCAGCACTGAGTGGGGAGTTAGTTGGCAGGAAGTCTCTCCACTACTGGGGAGCTAAAGGCAATTGTTAGCTGCTGGCGAAGGGAGAGTCACTTTTTTCTAAGAGTGTGGTCCCCAGTAAGATGATCATTCTCTAGTGGGAGGCCAGACATTTAAGAATATATTTAAGAGAAACAAATTGGCCTTGATGGGTTTAAAAAGGGTAAAAACCAAGGATACAAAATAATTGGGTGGGTAGGGGAGATCTGGAAGAAGTCGGGGAGGGGGGTGACTATGATCAGAACCCATTGTACAAAATTCTAATAAGCTAAGTAAAGTACGCCACAAACCACACATGCACACCCAGAAAAATGAGCATGGCAGCCAGCCACTATTTTCTGAGCCTCATGCAGCTCTGGATCTATCAGATGACATGGTTGTAAGGCTGGGAACAGCGATGCAAGGGAAGATCACCAATTCACACATCTGAAGAGACCGATATACCTGAAGGGTCAACAGACTTTTCTCCCACTGACAAATGCCCATTGTTTATTGCCATAGAAGAAATCTAGCATAAATTTAGACATAAAAGCACTAGTTAAATAAACAATTCTCTGGAGTCAGGTTATGCTAGAAATCAAGGTGTCTAGATGGCATGTCGCCATGCTGGCTTATTAGAATTTGCATCTGGCCGTAAAGCACTACAACCCGATGAATGATTCATTTTAATTAGAGTTCTGTTTGTTTATTATTAGTCCTGACTGATAATGCAAAGAACTTCAAATTTCAAGTGTTCCAGGGTCCTGAATTGTTTAATCTGGTCCTGTACAAACATCCATATTAGGAACAGCACTCCTAATAATAGACCAAAGAATTTTCAAAGCTTCAAAAAAAAAAAAATCATTCAGAAGATCTCAGTGTGGCATATCTCTTAAAGAAAGACACTACTCAGTCAGGGCTCCGAAGAACCTTCACACTACTGTTTATAATTCAAAAAGATTTCTCAATATTTAAAAATTGTATATATGACTAATAATAGATACTAGTCATTACACAGTTTTGATGTATCATGCTAACCTAAATGTGACAAGTCTTCAAAGTAATTGAAAGTAAACTATGATAATCATAATTTTTATTTTCATTCCCAGGGCATGTTCTCAATAATAAGATATGCACAGCAGGGTTCTCATTGTAGACTAAGTCTTAATTATGTGGATAAAGACAGGTATATTCATGCAAAATGCCAATGCCTACTTATAAAGGTGTGCTCTCATTCACACAAAAACAAAAGTGAATGCCAGGGGCTTAAGTTTGGGATTGTTTGGACACTATTCTTCTGCTGCCTTCAGATCATATATTTAAATACAACCCTGGTTTCTCAACTGCCACTTTCTTCCTCTTGTAATTTTCTTAAAACTACTCGTGTTTCCATTTTAAAGAGCAATCAAAATCTGAAAGCTGGCCTTTTAGGGAGGAGAGTGCAGTCTCCCCCTCCACTCTCAAATTACTGCGTGGCTTCAGCATGCTTTAAGTATGAAATCAGAATGCAGACATTGACCTAATTCGAAACCCTAATCAGTCATCGGATCGCTCTGAGGGACTTTTGACAGGTCAACTAAAATTTTGATAATGAACTGTTTTTATACGACGGGAGAAAAAAAAACCGGATGCTTTCTTTGACAAAGGGCTTCATCTTGGCTTTTCTGAATTGAAAATTTTCAGGCAAGATTTCACTCACATAACAAGAAGTGACTTCCTTTCTAGTTTCCTCGGTAAACCATTGCTTCTTTAATTATTATCAACCTTGTTCCAGTGTGATAAATTGCTAATTACTTAATACTCTAATCAGCGTTCATTCTTTGCACAGATAAACCATGACAGTGCCATTAATTTAAATAGTAATTTCACTTAATGGCCAGAACGGCACACCAGATTTTTATGCAGCATTTTCTGAAGTCTGCATCCATCACTGTGATATTCTGACATAAAGATGTCTGACGTGCACTAACTCACTTAGGGAGAGCAGATGTTGCAAAGCGGGCCTTGGTAGTAATACCCATGGTGCATCACTTCAGCATGAATGAGCTGCAAATCCAGAGACAGACCGGCTTCCGAAAGGCATGGCAACAACCTTTGACCCCTGCCTAATTTATCACACACAGCACTTGACTTTTGAACTTTGACACACAGAAGTCACAATCTTAAATATGCCCAAAGAAAAACAAAATAAGTCATGTATTATTGATGGCTTGGTCTGTTCTTCCAAAGGCTCTTCATTACATTTCTATGAATGTGGAGAGTGTCTTTGAACGAGACACAGATATTATCAAGGTATACATGAGTAGAGGTTTCTATTTCAGATCCACTTGTGTACACAGTTTTTCACATCGTGTATACAGTCAGTGATGACTTCTATTATAGACAGTGGAGAAATGAATTAGAAGAAGCTTGAAATCTTATTATCAAGTATGGCACCAGCATTTATTTAATGCCCAGGACTAATGAGGGAATATTTATCAACACATCTGACTGATAATTTGTAAGTGGTTTAAGTCTATAAAATGTGCTATACATTTTCCAGAGAAGACTAACAAATAAACACCTTACTTCTGAGATACAAACAGTAATGTAGTAAAAATCAGCCCTGGATAAGAAAACTAATATTGAACTCTGGCTCTGACTAGAGACCTTCATACTTTGGGACAAAGGGTTCTGTATTTCAGGCATAGAAGAGAGAAGAAACGGATTACAATTAGCCCTTCGAACAAACTTAGAAAATAAGGAGCAGAGCACTTTAAAAAAAAATCTTGTTTGTGATAACCAGTAGATGGCACTATGGCCACCATCACAACACTGAGGAAGACAGTCAAGACTGCTCCCCAAAGCACTGCCATACATTTTAGAACATGTATCTACTATATTTTCCAAAAGACCATCAGGGTTGTATGGAGACAATTTGGGAGCAATCTCTTCCAGTCAGCTCTTGGACCATGGACTCCTGTAGCTATACCGCCCCTCCTTTAAAAAAAAAAAAAAAAAAAAAAACTTGAAAATTCCATCTTAGGAAAAATGTGCATTTTTCTGGAGGTCCTCATTAATTTTTCTCAGTGCATAATCTAGGGCATGTAAACCCAGAATTCTGCTATGAAACAGGTTCAGGAGAGTTTCCTATCAAAGACTATGTGGACCTGATTTATAATACATACATACATATGTACATATATATATATGTATATATATACACACACACACACATATATATATATAACATATATTTTCTAAAGGCAGGGAATGATCTTGGTCATGGCTAACAGAAAATCTCCATCCTCTTGGAATGATAGAGAAGGTTTTAATTTTGTCTTTTAATATTAAGTAATGCATCAAGTCCAAGCCAAGATTAACAGCGTACATGATAAAACCATATACGCAAAACACTAAGGGGAAAAATGTGTAATAAAGAGATTTAAAATATACTTGGAGAAAGTGGTTAAGAATACATATCCGCGGGAATGACTTTCATCCCAAGACACCTGTATAACACTCCCACACAACTCATCTGCCCAGAGAGAGCACTAAAAAACATAAACGCTACCCTAGTACTTCTGCTCCTGTGGCATCTGTTAATTCACTCCATTTATAAAATACATATTGACAAAGACAACTGAACTGGGACCAGGGAGATTTGATTTGGTGTGAGAAAGTCAATTCAATGTGATTTTGTTAAAGGGCTCCTGCAGGCAAATAAAAGAGTTTAAGTAATAAAGCACATAAGGAGATGTTTTACGAGCCAGGCCGGTGTCGCGGCAGGCTCACGATGCCAGGCGGTGAGGAAGGCCAGGTTTGGGAACTGCCTCCTCCAGCGGATCTGGAGAGTGGCTAGGGTGGAGAGGAACAGGTCTGCTAGCGCTCATAATTGTCTGGGGAGACCTGAACGAGAGATAGCAGAGGAGGAGAGAGGGCTCAGAACCTGGCTGTTTTCAGTGTGTCTCAAGGTCAAAGTAATAAAGGGATTTTCTCCTTTGTTTTACAAGTACTGAGCCTCTGCCTCCCCCACTGTGGCTACCTTAATGGAGGCAGAGACAGCATTGCAAAACCATGTCAGTCTTGCTTCATGGGACTCGAGGAATGTCACAGTTTAAGAAAGGCTTCAGTGGGTGCTGCTGAGAGGACTCAAGAGTACTCAGCATTTAAGGTACTGTTCTCGCAGAGGCCTCAAGTTCAGTTCTCTGCGATCATACCAGATGGTTCACAACCACCTCTAGGGCATCTGATGCCCTCAAATGGTCTCCACAGGCACCTGCAAGCATCTGCGCATGTCCCTCACACACATACACATAATTTAAAATAATAAAAATAATTTCTTTTGGAAAAAAACATTTGAGTGGTTAGCTATCACCATCATAACTGACACAGAAGACGTCATTCTGAAACTTGGGTCTATGGGTGGACTTCAAGGGTGTAAAGATGACAGGCAATGTGCACGCTTGCTTGCTTGCTTGCTTGCTTGCGTGCGTGCGTGCGTGCGAGTGTGTGTGCGAGTGTTTGTGTGTGTGTGTGTGTGTGTGTGTGTGTGTGTATGTGGTGCATGCACATGCATGTGTGTGTGTTTTCAGTGCACTTTAACTGAAAAGGAGAAGCTATAACTTGGAAAGAATTCTCCAGAAGGTTAAGAATCCATTCTCCAGGGCCTTTCCCCTGCTTTCTCTCTGGCAATGGTGCTCTGCCATATCTTTTCTTCTTTGTGTTTTTCTGCCACCCGTATTTAATTAGTCCTTGTAAATCAGAGTTCTGACAATCACATCCACTCTCCCTGGAGCACTAACTGAATCCTGGGCTGCCTCAAGCCTGTCTCCCTCTATTTCATTGCGTAGGTGATGTACCACCCATAGGCCAAAGTGGCACCATGGGCCTCAACTCCCACTGGCTGCTTCTCTCGGGACTTTACTTGGGGTTTAGGATTCTAACAAGTGTACACCCCACACTTAGCTTTCTCTGTCCACTTAATGAGGTGATCACTTGGTTTTAAAACTATGCATGCATTAGACTACTGGAGAAGAGAGAGTGGATGTGGGTTTGGAGAGGAGAATGGCCAAGGTCTATTGCATGCTTGGATGAGAACGCCCTAATGAAATTCATTAGCTTTCACAATTAAGACACACTAGCAGAAACTGAAATGCCGAAGAACAAGGAGAGTATGTCACAGACTAACAGACACATTTAAATCTCTTGGACAAGCCAGAAGTAATACAGATTTGGGGGAGAAAATGAAATCCTAATCATTTTTACACTCAAAGGGCAATTTCTTGAATACAGACTCAATACATTCTTGTTTGCTGAATGAAAGGATGTGGCAGTAGACTAATTAAGAAAAGGAAAAAACTACCTGGCTGATTAGTGCCACACACTTGCAATCCCAGCACTTGGATGGTTGAGGCAGAAGATCAGGAGTTCAAGGTCATCCTGCTCTACAGTAGGAGATCCTGCCATAAAGAAAACAAACCAAAACCCAAACAAAAACACCTTTGCTTTTGTGGCTTAAAGCAGTGGGTGTGGTCTACCCTAGAATCAAATCCACTTAAAACAACAACTCATAATATGTAAAGACCCATTTCTGAGGCATAAATATCTTTTCTAAAACCCAAAGTCAAATCAGTAAAAAGAATGGCATTATCTTCCTTCCTTCCTTCCTTCCTTCCTTCCTTCCTTCCTTCCTTCCTTCCTTCCTTCCTTCCTTTCAATTTCAGGGCTAAGGTCCGAACCCAGGGCCTTGCGCTTGCTAGGCAAGCGCTCCACCACTGAGCTAAATCCCCAACCCCTCTCTTTCATCTTTGTAAGCCAGTTTAAGGGCTGGTGTTATTGACAGCAACTGAATTGTCCTACCCGCTTTTCTCTGTTGCAATAGCACATGCCATATAGTGCCTGGAAAACGCCACCAGACACCCAGAAAGGACTGGGACTGCTTAGATGGCTCAGTGGCTTGTGGTGCTTGTATCCTAGTCGACACTGGGGACCTACATGGTGTAAGAAGAGAATGAACTCCCATAAGCTGTCCTCTGATCACCACCGGTGAGCCATGGCATGCGTCCCCATGCCCCTCCACACACAGATCAATAAACAAGCAAATGTAATAAAGCTTTAATGCACAGATTAATTTAGTATTATTATGAAAACAGTTTTGCTCTGACAGACAACCTACAGAGAGAGCTACAGTTACTCTCATAAAAAAACGACTAAGGCTGGAGTAGGCACAGATGCTAAAATTTAGGGAGATATAAAGGATAAAAAAAAATTCATACACTACTAAAATGAGGTGTGGTGAAGGAAAAATTTAAAGGAAAAAATTATGAAATGAAAATGGGGAAGATTAAAAAAAAACAGTGGCAGAAGAGACATCTCGGCTGGTAAAGTGTTTGCTTTGTAAGTACAAGTCCTGAGTTCGATCCCCCAGAAGCCACGTAAAAAAGTTGAGCATTGTAGCACATGCCTGTAGTCCCAGTACCAAAGAAGGGGCAGGCAGGTCCCTGAGGATCATTAGCCATCAATCTAGCCTTTATAGAAAGTTCCATGCCAGTAAGAGGCCCTGTTTCAGGGGAAAAAGTTGGACTGCATCTCAGGAATGACCTCCACGATTGTCTTCTGGCCTCCACACGTATGTATTTGTGCACAGCCACCCCACACAGGAGGATATGCACACATGCACACACACGCAAAACATGAAAGTCTCTATTTAATTAAAATTATTCTGTTATCAAATGGGGAATTGAAATAATTTCAGATCATTCCTAAGTAGTAATACTGAAATGAAACTTTATTGGGACTCAGATCCATGTGCCTACAGTATAATAACACAAGGCTTGCTGGTTTGCAGACCAGCTGATGTCATCAAAGAAAACAGGACCCAAGTGGAAAAAAATTAGAGTTTAGACCAGTGGTTCTCAACCTGTGAGTCACAACCCCTTTGGGGGGGGGGTCACATATCGGAGATCCTGGATGTTAGATATTTATATCATGACTTATTACAGTTATGAAGTAGCAATGAAATGATTTTATGGTTGGGGGTCACCACAACATGAGGAACTGTATTAAGGAGTCACAGCATTAGGAAGGTTGAGGACACTGGTTTAGATGGACACTACCCACTGAATATAATTGATGTGGTTAGTTCCACAAATATGAAGGTGAGTCACCACAGAGCACTTTCAGAGAAGAAAATCTGAAATACTCTGCGATCCCAAGGCGATCCTTGGTACAGATTTCCCTACATCTGACAATCATCCTATCTATGTAGCATTAGAATAATGAGCTGAAGTAATTAAAACCACGCTTCTAAACTACAGGTGACTTTAAAAGGAAATTATGATTAGACCACGTGAGAGGGAAAAACTGAACTGTAATAAAAATGAAGTGCCAGGGTCAGCTGGATGGGCACTCAAGGGTGTATGCCAATCAAGGCGAAGGATGCCAGGAATGACAGGATATACATATCTAAATAAGTTATGGTGGAGACTGGAGATGACCGAGTGGGTAAGAGCACTTGCTGTGCAAGCAGAAGGACCTGAGTTCGAATCCCTGGATCCCAGGTAAAAGTTTGTGGGTGCACACATACCTGCAACCCCGGCACTGCGGAAGGCTGGGGCTGGCCGCCAGCACAGTTCCAAGTTCAGTGACAGAGCCTGTCTCAAGGTCATAAGGCAGAGTGACAGAGCAGGGCAGGGATGCCCTCTACAGGCCTCTGCATGAGTACACATGGGTGTGTCACACCCACACACACACACACACACACACACACACACACACACACCACATTAGATTATACAAGAGGGGTTTCCTGGACTTCTTTTAGATTTATAATTTTCTTATTACAAATAAATATTCATTTTAAACATCAAAGCTTAAATATCAGTTTTGTTTCTTTCCTTGCCCTCCCCTCGCAGTTCAGATCACCCAAACTCAGTGCTTGATCACAATCTCCAGTAGGCCTCAAATGCTCAGGTTTCAATTTCCCCATTAATTCTATTATTGTTGTTATTTTGGGGTGCTGAGAATCAAACTAGGGCCTCACAGACACGAGTAAGTGCTTTGGCACCTTTCCTAAGCTGTACGATAGGAATATAAAAATATCATCTGTTTGTCCGGTAGTTGTAAAGATTAATTTTGTCAGTCATGTGCACAGCAACAGACACTACTGCTTGGCAATATGGACTCATCCAGGGGCAATGCTTGCTATTAATATTAGTGCTAGTTGCCTAGGAATAAATGAGAACAAAAAAGTAAAAGATTAATATTTCAATATCGGTAATTATTTTGTCTACTGTTAGTACTTATTAGGAAATATTCGTTCATCCAGAAACAAGACATTTATACGGGAGTTTATTTAGATTTAGTGTATTTTTTTTGGTAACATCTAAAAAGTTTTTTAAGATGTATTTTTCAAAAAATTGTGCGTATGTGTGTGTGGACACTTGCCTGTGGCTGCAGTGCCCATGGAGGCCAGAAGAGGGCATCTGATCCCCTGGGCCTAGAGTTAGAGGTGGTTGTGAGTCCACAACATGAGTGTGAGGAACTGAACTTGGGATCTCTGTAGGAGCAGCAAGTGCTCTTAACCACTGAGCCATTTTTCCAGCCCCCTCAAAAGAAATTTGATGTGTCTTTATGAAGTAGACTAGACACACTTAAAAACAAAAGGAGATTTTCAACTGTTACATACTATATCCTTAACTGTTTCATTAGATGTATTAATGTGAGTTTTAATTATTTATTTGATTTCCGGGGCCAATCGCTCCTCCTCCCTTCCTCTCAGCTCTCCACATCCTATGGGACAGACAAGGGGTCTTACCTGGGAGGTGACTGTACACCATGCCCTTTTCTCCTCCACCACAGCACTTGAAATCCTGGCTCACCATCTCTCCTCCACAGCACTGCTGCCCATAGCCATCATGGAGCTGCCCAGCACAGCACACCTGGCTCCTGGAGGTGGCATATGGCATTCTGCCACAGCAGGCATCACCAAAGCCGACAGAAACTCGATTGTGCTGCTCATCTGGACAGCATATCTCTCCTGTGAGATCAGGACAATCACAGTTATCATATGAGTTAAAATATGCCATAAGTCATAGCTAAGTGTTAGTGCAATCGTTTCTACGAGGCTAATGACTGACAGGATGCCTCGGCGGAACGCTGCCCTACTGGGATTGCAAAATTGCAAGGCACCCCCCAAACTTTTGCATTAAAGATGGAGTAATGGGTGTGTTTACTTACATCCACGTATGCCAGCTCAGCGGTAGGGCTGTCCCCTTCCTGTTAGTCCCTTTCTTACCCTACCAGGCATGTCTGACCAATGTCATTTTGTGTTAGCCCATGTTCATAGCCATCCTTAGCTTTGCAGTCCATAAACCACAGGTTAGATGCACCTACCAGGACAAACTGGCATCTACTTTCCTGTCATTTTTACATACGTATGATTTTATATATGTACATAAAATCCGAGAACCACAAAGGACAAAAAAAATATGGTGTTATTTTCCTGAGATTGATTGTCTTTGTCAAATGATTTCCAGTTTCACCCACTTTCCTTCAAACATGACTTTGGCCCGTTTTATGACTGAAAAAAAAAAAAAAACTGCATCGTGTGTGTGTGTGTGTGTGTGTGTGTGTGTGTGTGTGTGTGTGTGTGTACCACATCTCCCTCACTTATTCCTCTGTTACTGACGCTCAGTCCGGTTCCATCACTCGGCTCCCGTGAGTAGTGCGCAGCAAAGGCTGCTGTGGTATGCTTTCATGAGGTCCTCTGGGTAAATACCCGGAAGTGATATAGCTGGGTCATGTGGACGATCTAGCGTCAGTGTTTGAAGGAACCTCCTTCTTGACTTCCATTATGATTCTTCTGCTTATGTTTCCACCACCAGTGCAGAATGCTTCTTCTTCTCCTTTGTGCACATCCTCGCCAGCATTTGTTGCTATTCGTTTGCAGACAGAAGTAAGAGAATCTTGAAGTCCTTTTAATTTGCATTTCTCTGGTGGCCAGTGAGGCTGAAATTTCTTTTTTCATATTACTGAAAACTTTATAGTTGTATTTCATGGTGAATCATCTACTCATTTCATTAGCTCATTTATTATGTTTTTTGATTTCTTACTTTTTGAGTTGTTTATTCTAGATCAGTAGTTTTCTACTTGAGTCACAACCCCCATGGGGTTCACATATCAGATATCAAATATTTATGTTATGATTCATAACAGTAACAAAATTACAGTCATGAAGTAACAACGAAATAATTTTATGGTTGGAGGGGCAGTCACCACAACATGAGGAACTGTATTAAAGGGTCGCAGCATTAGGAAGGTTGAGAACAAGTGAGTAGAGCTAGGTATCGGTCCCTTGTCAAGTCTATAGCTGGCCAATTCTCCCATTTTGCTGGCTATTTTTACTCAACCGTTTTCTTTGTTGTGTAGAAACTTGTTCAGTCCTTGAAATCTCATTTGTCAATTGTTGTCACATTTTGCTAAGTGACTAGATAGCTGTTCAGAAGTCCTCACTGACACCAATGTCTTGAAGTGTTTCTCCTACTGAGAAAATTATTTCTTAATAAGGATATATTTACTTAACCAAACAAAACTCTTAAAACAGGAAGATAATTAAATGAGATGAAGTAAAATATTATATTTAGCTAAGCACATTCATAATTTGCAGGGTTATGAGAGATAATAAATTTCCCTAGAGCTTGTACATGCACAATGTCAGCATGTGAGCGTCTGAGAATAAAGCTAATATTTAAAAAAATTAAATAAAAGAATACCTTAAACCTTGGCTTGGTGTTTCTAGACCAAAAATTTAAAAATTCCATATATCTAGTTTGTTGTTGCTGGCTATATGTGGTTGTTTTGTTTTGTTCGGTAGCTTTATTTTGGTATGGAGGGGCCTTGAAGAGAATTCACAAAACTGCTTATCTTGGTGATATCTCAGAAATGGCTGACAGTATTTGGGAGATCTAGACCATATACTTCTGCTCCTCTTTACTTCCTGTGACCCAAATCTGGTTGATCTCCTTCCTCCTTCCTGAATCTCGACTTCCTTCTCTCTTGCCCATCTCTCCTCTACCACGCCCCTTCAGCAGTTTCTTCCCATTTCCTGTACTGCCTTCTTAGGCATTTCTCTTTCCCTGGACCCTACTCCTTGACTATATTTTCAAGGTGCATGGGTACAGTGGCCATGCCAAATAGTTGGATTGTTTTAATACATGGTCCAGAGGTTATATAATGTAAGCAATGAGTTCCAAGTTTTACTAAGGAAGGGGCCAAGTTCAATGAGAACTGAGGGAGCTCATGGTCTTGGATGTCCTTGTTCTCTGTTAATTAGTTCATCTTCTCATGAGACCTACAGTGTAGAAGCAAGATGAACTGACAAAAAAACCATGGGACAGTATCTGCCTGTGTTTAGAGACCTGAAGAGTAGGAAAATAAGACAAGAATTCATTGCAGCTATCCTACAGGTCTTTCCTGTTCCAATTCATTGCTCAAAACACTGTGCTACTAGACAATAACCACAAATTTCTAGAAATACAAATTTAACAAGACTGAACCATAAAATATAGAAAATCTGAACAGACTCAATTCATAGCAAGATTATTTGATTTACCAAGAAACTCCCCATAAGAAATACTCTGGACAGATGGCTTCCCCGGCAAATTCTACTTATCCTTTAAAAAAAAAAATTAACACCAGTGTCTTCTTCCAGAAAAACTGACGAGTGGGGAATAACTCCTAACTTAACTGTGAGTTATACAATACCCTGATACTAAAACCAGATAAAGACACTTAGAATAAAAAAGAACTGTAGATGACAATACTGATTCTGAAGAAAACAACTAGAAAAGAAAAATATCATAGAACTGAATTTAAAATCACATTAAAAGAACAACACTTCACGACCAAGTAGGATTTATTCTGAGAATGGAAAATTAGTTAACAAGACAACATGGCACAGTGGATGAGAGTCTGCTGCAGCGCAAGTCCGACAGCATGAGTTCAATACCCGGGTCCCTCAGTGGAAGGAGAAAACCTACTCCTCCAACCTGTCCTCTGACTTCCACCAGAGCACCATGGTACGCATAGACAATAAAATACATTTCAAAGAGATTAAAAACATTTTAAAATTTTGTATATATTTGTAGGATGTTTGTATGCTAGCACAGGTGCCCGTGGAGACCAGAAGATGATGCTAGATACTCCCAAAGCTGGAGTCATAGGTAGTTGTGGGCCATGACATGGCTGTTGGGAACAAAACTTAGGTCCTCTGTAAGAGTAATCTGCACTCTTAACCACTGAGCCATCTCTCCATACTCATCAATGAAAATTTTAGAAAAGGTTAGCAAATCAAAATATATCTGCAATACAACACTATCCTGACACCCAAATAATGGGAAGATGGGGGACATGCTCTCAGCTGAAACAGAAAAGGCGCAAAGAAAGCTTTATCTCTTTCATTGTACTTGACAAAGCAGGAAGGAACCTGCCTTAGCATTAGTAGGGGTGAATATGAAGAGCCTCTGACTAAGAGCCCACTCTAAAGACTGGAAGGCCTTCTAAGATCAGAAGGAGGCAGAGACGCCAGCCTCCACTTCTCATCGCAGAGTTGGGTGGTAGCCAGAGCAATTACACAAATAGAGGGAAAATGGGCATCCAAAATCAAGGGGGTGGGGTGGGGGCAAAACCACATGTGTTTTCAGACAACAGGACCTTAAAGGGAGTAAAGTCCCATTTATTAAAGACAAGAAACACCAGGACTACTCAATGAATTCATCAATGTTTCAATACGTAAAATGTACACAAATAATCTACTAGGCTTCTACACTGTAAGAACAAACAACCTGAAAGACAGTCACATTTAACACAGCATCAAAAGTCTAAAATACTTCAGACTGAGCTCAACCCAGGACACCGGAACACCGGGAACATCAAGAAACAGCCCCGTGTAAGAGCATCCCACAGTCACGGCTGGGGAACCGCGGCTAAGATGTCTGTGCTAGCCCAGGTGATCTGCAGAGCCAAAATGATCTCTCAAAATCCTGAGGCTTCTTTCAGAAACGGGAAAGCCATTCTCAAATTCACACCAATGCCGAGGAATCACAAATAGCTAAAATAATCTCGGCTGAGAACAAAGCCAAAAGTCTTCCACGCATTGACTTCAAACTCTAGTACAAAGCTGATGTGGCAAAACAGTGTGGTACAAAGAACGATGCTTGGCAGAAATGAAATAGAAAGAATAGCAACAAATTCGCACATGTGCTCAAGCAATCTGTAACAAAGGTGTCAAGACCACCCAGTGGGGGAAAGAAACATTCCTGTTTGCACAGTTAGTGTTGGGGAAAAGAAACATTCCTGTGAAAAAGAATAAAGTCAAATTCTTACTTTATTATATGCCACAAAAATGACCTCAAAATGTATTGAAGATCACAGAGTAAAACTAAAATTCAAAATTCTTGCTAGAAAGCATGTATGGGCAGCTTCATGATGTTGGGCTGGGTAATGATTTTTGAATTGTTTTCATTATAACAGGAAACTTATAGCCCTAAAAATAAATGAATTTAGCTGGGCGGTGGTGGCACACGCCTTTAATCCCAGTACTCGGGAGGCAGAGGCAGGCGGTACTCTGTGAGTTTGAGGCCAGCCTGGTCTACAGAGCAAGATCCAGGAAAGGCGCAAAGCTACACAGAGAAACCCTGTCTCGAAAAAACCAAAAAAAAAAAAAAAAGATGAATTTGTATCTGTCAAAATTTCAGACTTTGTGGCATCAAGGAAGACAACGGAGTCACAAGGAAGGCACTGGAGAAAGTATTTGGGAATCATGAAATACTGAGGGATTATGTTAGTCACTTTATTTAGCTATATAACAAAATGCCAGAGACCATGTCATACAGTTCTTAAAGGTCTATTTAGTTCATATTTCTGGAGTTCGAGAACATGGCACAAACTTGTTCTCAAACAACTTCATGGCAAGAGTGTATGAGTGAAGGGAAGGTCAGGCTCCTGGCCAGACTGGCTGTGGAACTGCAGGGTTCAGTG